AACAAGTAAACGAAGAAAATAATCAGGATGCTTTGCAAGTAATGAAATCATAATAACGCTCATAAATATACATCACGCGTCAGTACCGGAATTTGTGTTGAGGTTTTTGAAAGTGTTTATTAACTTAACTAGTGCAGTTGGTAGTACAAAATGTCGAATGAAAATGAAAATTTCGACTTGTATCATTTAGTCAAAAAATAATGGTGAATCTTCTCATCGAAAAGAAAAAGATTTTTTTTGAAATTTGTTTTGTGAAAAAGTTGAAGTCACAAACTCACAATTTTTCCGAATAACATATACTATTTTATCCACAAATTGAGAGTTAGAAGCAACACTATAACTAACAAGTAAACGAAGAAAATAATCAGGACGCTTTGCAAGTATCACGCGTCAGTACCGGAATTTGTGTTCAGGTTTTTGCAAGTGTTTATTAATTTAACTAGTGCAGTTGGTAGTACAAAATGTCGAATGAAAATAGAATTTTGTTGGGTGAAAAAGTTGAAGTCACATAAACTCACCATTTCTCCGAATAATTTTTTCTACAAATTGACGCTTTGCAAGTACTGAACTCATAATAACGCTTATAAATAAAAATTTGTATTGAGATTTTTGAACGTGCTTCTTACCTTAACTAGTGCAGTTGGTAGTATAAAATGTTGAATAAAACAGAATTTTGGCTTGTATCATTTAGTCATAAAAAATAATTTGCAATGTTAATTATTATTGTAAAAATTTGTATTGTTGAACCTTTTCATCGAAAAGAATGTATTTTTTGAAATTTAGTTGTGTGAAAAAGTTGGGCTTTTATTTGAAGCATTAGCGTTTGTCCGCCGTTTCAGGTCGTATAATACCTGCGAATTATGAAAAGCGTCTCCGGAACTTATGAATAATGAACGAAAGCATTAGATATGATTTCCTCTGGTGCATTTCGTGCTCTCTCGTCTTGGGTTAATTGGTCGGAAGAGCGCGCGATGCTTATTTAAAACACTGGCCCTGCAGATGAAACGACTATTACTCAAGATTTAAGAGCTGCCATTCCGTTGGGAAATCTCTGTTAGCAAGTGAGCCAGACGCGCCGCGACGCCCCGCGACGCGCCCCCATCTTTTATTGGCCTTGTCTTCAAAAACCCACAAAAGCTCAAGTGTCAGGATTTCGGCATCGATTTTGCTTTGGTCCAAGATTCCATTAAAGTTTACAGACTCGAGAAATTAAATTACATTTCGAGAAGACTCAGACGTTAATTAATGGAGTTTGAGAGATCCAGTCAGACTATAAATAACGTGAGAATGAGGATTCAATTATTCGACATGTGCACAAACAATTCGCTTTTATTTTCTGGAATTTTTGCGGTTTAATTTGTTAGAGTTGAAAGATAAAAGTTATTCAGAAAGTGTAATTAAAAGAAAATAGCCCTTGAGCTCCTTAATTATAAATGAAAATTACGCTGAATATGATAATACAGCTTGCTTTACGATGTTTTCACATTTAAGGAAAAAAAATTGTGGCTTAGCACTCCAACTAAAAAAAAATTTTTTTTAAACAAAAAAATAATTTTTTTTGGACTATTTTGAAATTTTGTGCTAAGTTTTATGGAAAGAATCAATCAAGATTTGGCAAATAAAGGTTAAAAACGACTCGAATCGGTGTTTTTGAATCAAAAATTGAGCAAAATACAAATTTTAGTACACAATAAAACTAGTCAATGTCAGATTTGATTAAGAGTTTTATTTTTACTTAGTAAAGTGTCAATCGAGACTTTTCAAAACACAAAAGACAGTTGYGGAGACTAAGAAAGTGTCAGATGTACTGAATTAAAAAATTTCTAGACTTGCAAAAAACATTTCAAAATTTTTAAAAAAATGCTTAAATTAAAAGAAAATGTCAATCGTGACTTTTTTTAAACATCGTGTTGCAAAAGACAGTGGAGGAGACTATTGGAAACTATTACATTTTGTCAAAATTTATAAAAGGGGCTCGCGGCTTTGCCGCTCYCCCTCTTCTAAACCTCACACTATCTAATGTGTTAAAACACAGTGTTATGTAAATCTTCCAAAAATGCCAAATTTTGACAGTTTGAACTTTTGAATTAATTAAATAATTATTTTTTATATTGACTTAATTAAATCAAAGAAGCCGATTTTTAAAACAAAAATTTTAATTAAGTATGTATATTTTTCTTGTCGAGTAATCTAAGACGAGTTTTGATTGGTTGATTTTAAAGCTAAAAAATTATAAATTTAAATTTGTTTCCCCAATTGGCGTTGAAAAAATCATATCTTTTTA